AACCGCTCCTTGGCATGGTACAGCAACAAAGATGTGAAACATTGGGTTGTGTAGAGGAGCTGATTTAATATAGCATGTGTCATATTGTCCTTAACTTTTTATTTAATAAACTTTCCAAAATGTATTCTTGGTATTGAAAAAAGGAGAAGGAAAAGAAAAAAAGAAAAGTGTTGGGATGTCAGTGTTTGTAGCTGAAATAATTTCAACCTCTATGTAAGTTTGTGTTTTGAGTTACTTCAACAAAATAGCATGACACTGAGTTATTAATTTGTGGATTACCACAACCTTGCCATCAAAATTTTAGCAAGATGAGGGACTCTTGCGTAAAGAAATAGATATATGTATGACCAGAACTTGAAAGGCAATTTAATATCTTTTTCCTAAATAACTCTTAGTGGAACTTTGTACTTCATTGTAAATGTCCCCGTTTGACACTCATTAGATTAAAAAAGCACCAGACTTTAAAAAGCTGATTATTACGCAAGTTCTATGTTCTGAAATATTTATCATATTAAAGAAAACTATTAATCTTAAAGTGATAACATGGGCTGGCCAGAAAGCCACATTTTTTCATATTTGATATCCTTTGATGGTATGATATAGATGGAAGTATTTATTCAGGCAATATATTAAAAAATGATGTTACTTAAAATAAATTATTTGAACATCTAATCTGTTTTCCGGTCCCTGAATGTTCGTGAGCCTTAGGCAGAGAGGGAGTCGGGGTATTTGTGTAAAGACCTATGGGTGGCCTTAGTTACACAAGAGTATCTTCAATATTCTAGAAACTTCATTTTTCTTCAGGGATAATTGCTATGGAAGATCTTCCATCTCGTAATGGATAGCAAGTGTAAGAATTAGTTTTGCCTTACCAAAAAGTGCTAGGTGTAGCTGTATAAGGTACTGAGTTAGTGGGTTTGAGAACAAAGCTTTTTTTTTTTCTTTTTTTTTTTTTTGAGTTTGAAGGGACACAAGCGCATACAACTTTGCAGGTGGCAGTTTCTTGAAAGCTTAAAATGTTTTCTGTATTAGTGAAGACTTTTGGTGCTTTAATGGAGAATTCCAAAGAGGGGAATGGCAATGGGACAATGGAAAATAGCTGAGAACTGATAGGTGGTAGGTTTTTTTTTGCCTGTATATTTCTGGGTGATTGAAGGAACAGGGCAAAAAATGTTCATTTCAGGGTTCTTTTAGATTTGCAAAACTTAATGTGATGGTTAAAAACCCTACTTTTTTTTTAAGATCTGGGTTTAGAATGGGGTAGGAAGATGTATACACATGTACATATATACACACAGTCACATTAATACTCCCATGTTTTTTTTCTGGATGTCTCAGGATGGATTTCAAACTAAAATAACATCAACATTTCTCCTTCAATTTCTTTTCCATCCTTTCTTTGAGGGTCACTTGGGTTTCTTTATCCACTCCCAGAAGAATCCACAAACCACATGTGCAACTCACTTTGATCTCCTTGCAATAAAAAGGATAAAATCCTAGCCTGGTGAAAGCACCAGTAGGTCTTCTTAGGCATCAGCAACAGCCATGTTTCATGTGCTGTGGAGGAGTATACAAAACACAATTGTAGATACACAAAGATACGTCAAAAGCAGAGACTTGTGGGTTTGGTTAGGTCCCAGATCCAGGTAATGAACATCTAATATTTAGGTTAAAATTACGTCATTCTTTATAGAACTGTCCTGGGCTTACCAAAGTATTCCTATACCAGTTAACCATTCCTGGCTGGATCAGAGTGTCCCTAACTTGAAGCCAGCTTTTCGTTTGCAGATATGCTGCAGGCATGTTAAAAAGTGGCTTTCACTGGTTAAGAACAAAGACTTTTAGTGATGATGGGCCCCTGAGGAAGTTCTTCAAGTCCTCCAAAATGGAAAATGGTTTGATTGTGTCACCTCTTGTATGAACAAAAGCTTTCTCAAACTGCAACTGCTTCAGCCTTCTGTCAGGTCAAGATTGCAATGTCTCTGTCAGCTAATAGATGTTTTTCACCTACCATAAAATTTCCTGCAAAGCCATTTGTGTTCCTGCTGGATTTTTCCATTTTGATTGGTGACCTTAATTAAGAGTTTAGTAGCACTATTTTCTTACCATTGAAATGTAAGTGGCTTTTGGGGAATAATTGAGAACTGGAATTCTGAGGCAAGTAAATCAGTGCCTATTACCTGTGGTGACTGTTGATTGTGAACCAAGCAGTTTCTTCTCTTTTCTCTGGAGTCTGCAGAACAATGATGTACAGCTGGAGTTTGTTGTTGTTGTTGTTTTTTTTTTTTTTTTTCCCAAGTGGCCATACAGGAAACAATAAATTAAAAAAATCCAACAAAACTACACAAACATTCCTAAATCTCAGCACTGCAAAGGAGCTGATTTAAATTATATGAATCATTTGTGAATGTGTCTTCCAGGCCTTTTAAATTTAATTTATGTATGTGGAAGCCAGTTTACAGATTAAGTCTTCATGCTGATCCTGGCCCAGTGAGACACCTACTTCAGACTAATTTGCTGTGCTGAGCTTTCTGGTGTGGCTATTTTCTGAATGCCAGTCAATTTAAAGTGAGGAATTTCCGATGTGGCAAAGAGAAAGAAATGGAGGCCTTCTAGGAGGATAGGGTGTGTGGATTTTTAAAGAACATGAGACAGAGAGCAAACAAAAGGACTTGGCCGTGTGGGCAACTTTTACCAAGATAATATGCAATGGTTTTCTTTAGAATTTTTTTAATTTCAGTTAAAGATAAGGTAAAAATATCTCCTTATGGAAATTTATACTATTTGACCATAGCCCATTCACTCAAATCCCAGAAGCTTGTGTCAGTTGGCTGCTGTCCTACACAGAGGACCCTATGCCACAGGGCTCCTTGGGGATGGTTTCTCTTCTCCCATCCTTCAGCAGGTGCTCATCAGGGACCACTGGGACAGCTTGGATATGGCCCGTGGTATCTGTAGTGTAGCTGCTGACACTCATCCCTAGGTTTCTGTATTAATTGACCTATCTCTTGTGATTTCTTCGGAGACAGCTGGTTGAGAGCTGTCCCAAGTAAGAGGGAGAACACCAGAAGTCCTTAAAAAAAACCCTCAGAGGTTATTTATGTTACTACCTCAAATATCTTCTTTTTGGATACCTGCTCTGGTTAACAAGATAGCAAATAACAACTGCTTAATGCTGTTTTGCTTGTTTGTTTTTTTTTTTTTGTCTACTGCAAATGGATATTCTTTTCAGTTGTGCAGACTTTTTTTTCAGTGGTTCAGATATTTTCTATAGTGGCTTATTCATCTAAATGTAAGAAAAAACATGTGTGGCATAAGTGAGGTAAATCACAGAGTCATAGAATGATTTCAGTTGGAAGAGACCTGAAAGATCATCTCGTTCCAATCCATCTGCCATGGGCAGAGACACCTCCCACTAGACCAGCTTGCTCA